CTTTTTTCTCCTTGCTCTTTGATTCAAAAAATGCATGTTTTAATGACTCTAATATAATTGTGTAATCGTATATATGTATTGGGATGGCCAAAAACGCATTCCAAAAGCTAGGCAGATTATTACGAGACAGGAGAATTTCATTTGTAAAAAAGAAAAGCGTACTGAACTGCAAAGTGATACGTGTCCTCCTTTATGGAAGGGAATGTTGGACGGTCTCCTCAAAGATGAAGAAGAGATACGAGGCAACAGAGCTATGGTTCTACAGAAGGATGTTAAGCATACCATAAACCGAACCTGTCAGCAACGATGAGGTTTTGGAGAGGATGAAAACAAAAAGAAACATACTTAACATCAGGAAGAGGCAATTGAAGTTTCTGTTACACATAATGAGAAAGGGGGGGGGCATAAAAAATCAGATACTCACAGGGTGGATGGAGGGATAAGGGAAAGCGGCGCTTGACATACTTGACCGGCTTTATGGAAGTGGATGACAGAATAGGGTCTGGGAAAAATAACAAAACGACAAAACTTATTGAACGCTACAAGGGGTTGCTGGTAGATGTGGAGAGCCATGATCGCCTACGTCCTGAAAGGACACGGCACATAAAGGAAGAATATCATTTTGTACCCCAAGAAAAATTTCTATAATGAAAAATAATTCTATCTTGGATTCTTTCTCCAAGTTTTCTTTTAAATTATATGGAACTGTTATATGCGATTGCATGGTTTATTTTTTACTTTTAGCTATTTATTTTCAAGGGTCACCAATTTTTTGTCAGTTCTTGTTCAAGAGGTTTATGGACCTGTTGAAACTCTTCGGGATTTGTTTATGCTTTAATAGGAATAGTAATTGATTACTTTTTTTTTTTACTTAATTACTATGAATTATGTTTTCTCAGTCTGTGAGGGTCCTTCTGTTGGGCCTCCAAATTCGAAGATGGCGGAATGGACCTACAAAGCTTGCCCAGTGCTTGTTGGTAGGGGCAAATGTGATACCGTTGGACGAGTATGTCTCTTTGGATTTATGATCGCACAAGGGTTATTTGCGCGTAAGTGGATGTAACGAACCCAACTGAAATTCGAACACGGCTCTACGAGTTCACATTTCAAGCCGTTATCCACATGCACACATCCTAGCTTAAAGCACCTGGTATTCCCAAGCGGTCACTTATCTCGGTACTAACCAGGCTCGACATTGCTCAACTTCAGGGGAACCAGTGTTTTAACGTGATTTGGCTCTAAGTGAATTGTGTTTTATTTTCATTTAATTTAGTTTTTATTTTAACTTTATTTCAAGAATTAAAATATTCATGAAGGAGAAGTTAAGTCTCAGCTTTCATTAAATATTTGGTTGGTGCATAATTATCAGGCGTTTTTGTAGGCGACTTATTTGTTAATTGCTGTTTTGTTTCTTTTCTTTTTTAATAAAAATATTTTATTTTCAGATTAATTGTTATGTTTCTTTTTTTTCATAATAAATATTGTTTTAAACAATTATGCATCAACCCAATATATTTTAAAGTGTTTTCGACGTAAAACATTTAACTTACACTTTCTTTATTTACATTTTTTAGTCTATAACAGTACTATAAATAGAAAAAAATGTCTGTATAAACGACGAAATTACCTTAAATAAATTATTTATATTCTTAACATAATGATTAATATTTGTATCAAGTACTTCGAAATCTAACTTTCGCAATTAATTCTTTACGCTATAATTTAAGCGACTAAATTGATATAACCCTTTTTTTCCAAATTAATACAGGGTGCGGCAGAAATACCTCCTACATTTTAAAGGCTGCTATTAAAATATTTATATCATTGTTGTTTAAACAAATGGATGCAGTTTTTATTCATTAGGTTTGAAAAAATAGTGGCCTCTTATTTTTGACATAAAGGGTTGTAGATGATTTCTAAAGCCTGGACATTTTGTAGAGTTCGAGCGCATCAAGATATTCTAGGTGGCTTTCTTTTAAACAATGAGCCTGTGGCAATGAAATATTTAACCCATAGCAGTCTCGATGTTCTATCCGAAACTACCTCATTTAGACGTAACTTGAAATGAGCACGAAAGGATATCTGTATTGCAATTACAGATATACCAGTCTTAACAAAAAAAAAAAAAAAAAAAAAGAAAAACTTATCAACAGAAAACTCACAGTGTTCAACAGTCTAAGCCATGGTGGTAACATGGTACTTGAAGAAAAAAAATGGTAAGACATTACCTAAGTGATAGCACAATTGCTATTTGCCCAAGTTCATTAACACAACGCAAGTGACAGTTTAAAATTTAGTATGTATTTCTGCTGCAACCTGTATAAACTTCTTCCCAAAAGTTCTTTAGACAACTAAATATCACCTTTGTGTACTTAAGACTGTAAACTCTGTATTTCGACCAATATATTCTTCAGTCTGCTTCCAGTGTACAATCCGTAAAAGGAAGAACAAATGAAAAAAATTCCATGATACTTCTACGGAAAGTCCCGTGGTTACTTCCAGCCGAAATATCTTCAGTTCTTGCGTGTTCCAAAGGTTAGAAAAAGTCCCACTTGTATAGCAATTTTTTCCAATAACTGCCTGAGGAATGCTTCTCTGGACGCTACAATCTTAATCTCTTCGTGTCAAAGGTCAATCGTTATCTATCCTTCTTATACTCATAATCTTAACTTTCTGCTACCTCCTCTTTCATTCATATCACAAAAACATAGAAAAATACATCAGTCGATAAGGATCACCCGAGTGAGCGCAAAGGCAAAAGTTTTCAAAATCGCTCCACTAGGCCATCATGTCACAACCAAATTATAAACACCTTTGCATCATCAAGAAAACTGAAGAACCTGTAGAATGCGCGAAAAAAGTCAACCACCTTGTCTCAAGATGCCTCAAAATAGCAAAGACCGAGTATTTACATGATTTACAACGAGACTAATATCCTCATCCCTGTTGCTAATTTAGGTCGTTTTGTCCTCTGACCTTCTTCTGGTTACTATCCAGAGAATTTCAAAGTAAACACTTTATTTAATTCATAGTAGTAGGATGTTGGTGTTTCACTGGCTATGTTTATGTAGAAATCGTCATGTCATTTTTTTGTAAAATTTTGTTTGTGTTTTAGTACTGCTAAGTAATTGCTAGCTCCTTCTCCACTAAATCTGAGTTTGTACTGAGACTGAACTCACACATTCTATTTTATCGAATCCATGTTTTAATTTTCTTGGTTATTCAGGCAGAAGACAAAGTAGATTCCCTGAGAAAACAAAAGAGTAACGTACTTGTTGTAAAAGGCTTGCAGGATGGGCAAAATCCAAGCGACTGACAGATGGCATGAATTACCAACGATACGCAGATATTACCAAATTGTAGCGACTTCACCCAAATCCGTTTAAAATACTATCAAACAACCAACACGAAAGAATTCTTTCATGAGATTAATCCATATAATATTCTACAAGTTCTTAAAGAAATCAAACTGTATTTCAAAATATAACAAAACTATAACCACACATACATATCACCGCCTCTAGTAATCATGTCCACGCAAACACACACACACACACACACATATATATATATATATATATATATATATATATATATATATATATATATATATATATATATATATATATATATATATAAAAAAAAAATATTTATAAGGCATTTTTAAAAGCAAAAGCTAAAATAAGAACAACCGGTTTCGTCCCAGGACTTATCAAGTTTATTTATTCTGGGAATTTAAAAAAGCGTGTAAATTAATTTTTAATTAACGAATGTAATCGAATGGGGAAAATAAAAAAAAAATTATGAATTTCAAGAAACTAGCGTCCAATAATATTCAAACCCAGCAAGCATTCCCTCTGTTTACAAAGGGAAGGCTCACAGGATCTGATTATACAAGGACTCTAAAACCTTGGGGTGAAATGTGGAGTGGGACCTAGATAAAATTATAAATCGGTCACCACTAAAATTTTCCACACATTTCCTACTATATATATATATATATATATATATATATATATACAAAATCTGAGTATCATCTACCATGTATTCATTTGTGAAAGCCGAACAAATCATATATTTTTATTATTTCCAAGCCCCCAAGAAAATTAAATTTCGGCATTAAATGATCCATAAGGAGTTGATATGCCCTTAATCAGACAAATTAATCATTCTTTCAATCGACAGAGTACAGAGATCACTTAGAGATCAGATGCTATATTCATTGGAAATTATGTCAGTATAACAGTGTGTCACAGAGTGAAAAATGTTATGAACATCGACAGGAACCAATGATAGAAGGCTATGACGGGGCACCCCGACATGGTGTAATGGTTAACAACCTTGTCTCGCACGATCACTTACAATTGAATAGTGAGTTCGATCTAAACTGGATGCGCCATACTTTCGGCATTGTATCACATCTAAACTACGTTTAGAAACTCAACATGACACTTCGACGTGGTGTAATGGTTAACAAGTGTGTCTCGCTAGCACAATTACGACTGAGTTAGTAAGTTAGATTCTCACTAGGTGTCCCATACATTCGACCTTGTGCCACATCTAATCTACGCTTAGAAAATCACCAAAGGAGGCTGTGACGTCATTATTCTTCTGGTATTTTGCCATTAATAGTGTTCTGTCATATAAAAGCTAATAGACCAGACATAGTAATTAAAAACTACAAACAAACAAAAAATGTGTTCAATTTTCAGGATATGACAATGTCATCAGATAAAAATATGTAAAAGAATATGACAGAATAAGTAAAATTAAATGTCTTCAAATTGAAATTGAAAACAATGTGGCAGTATTAAATTAAGTGCGCAGAGTGTCGAACGGAAAAAGTGACGAATGGACAAAATGTCGAACAGACAAATTGTCGAACGGACAAAGTGTCGAACGAACATTATGAAGAATATAGTAAAATATAGATCCGAATGATGACGTTTTAAAACTTGAAAGAATAATTGAATTAAGTAAACTGAATAGTGAGGTTGGCGCCAATTTATAGTCCCTAATAAAACTCTCAATTCAATTTGTTAAAAATAGAGCGTAATAACCCTAAGCCCCAATCTTACCGATGATCATGAAGACTTAATCACTTTTTAAGTTTAGAATAGATTAATTGATCATTTGAATCGAGTTTTTTTTTTTTTTTTAATCATGTTCGTTTTTACTTTGTTCAACGTTTTGTCCTTTTGAAACTTTTCAACATTATGCCCATTCGTTATTTAGTCAGGTCAACTCTTTTTCTGTTCGGTACTTTGTCAGTTCGACACTTTGTCCATTCGACACTTTGTCAGTTCGACACTTTGTCCATCCAACACTTTGTTCCTTCGTTCGATACTTTGTATGTTCGACATTTTGTTCGACATTTGTCCATTCGACACGTTGTCTTTCGACACTCTCGCCTAGGGCCATAAATTTAATGTTTTAATAATCAGAATCGAAATAATAGTAGTAGTGGTACTTTTCCTCATAGTAATAGGCATAGTAGTAGTAGTAGTAATAGTGGTAGTAAACGTAAAATTGATCTCTTTCATGTTGCATATCCTACATGAATTAGATGGAGATTTAAGATTAAGAATGTATCATTTTTAAAGTATATTCCTTAGTTACGAATCCAATTTAAAACAAAATTTACTTCTACTTACATGCCACTTCCGGATGTCTCAGTTATCTCCCTTTACCTCAGCTCTCCAAGTGTTTGTTCACCACTGCAGTAGCCAGGGATTGAACTCACAAATATTTGGGTCAAGTCATTGGATCCAATCAACACTTTTATCCTCTGGGTCATGTGTCCTTGAGAACATCAGTTGGAGAGTTGGGTTAAAGGGAGATAACTGAGATACCGGGAAGAGGCATGGCACATGAAACTAAAACTCACCACGAAATAAAAAGTTCAGTTCGAAATTCCAATCAGCTAATAAAGACCGGAGCGTACAACGGCCGAAACGTCGTGAATATGGCAATAAAGATGAGGACAACAGTCCGAACAATGTAAATAGTGTAAATAATTACAATACCTCATATCAGAAATATAGGTAATTCTTGAAGAAGGCCGGAGTGTACAACAGCCTAAACGTCGTGAATATGACCATAAAGATGAGGACAACAGCCTGGACATTGTAAATAGTGTAAATAATTACAATACCTCATATCAGAAATATAGATAATTCCTGAAGAAGGCCGGAGTGTACAACGGCCTAAACGTCGTGAATATGACCATAAAGATGAGGACAACAGCCTGGACATTGTAAATAGTGTAAATAATTACAATACCTCATATCAGAAATATAGATAATTCCTGAAGAAGGCCGGAGTGTACAACGGCCTAAACGTCGTGAATATGACCATAAAGATGAGGACAACAGCCTGGACATTGTAAATAGTGTAAATAATTACAATACCTCATATCAGAAATATAGATAATTCCTGAAGAAGGCCGGAGTGTACAACGGCCTAAACGTCGTGAATATGACCATAAAGATGAGGACAACAGCCTGGACATTGTAAATAGTGTAAATAATTACAATACCTCATATCAGAAATATAGATAATTCCTGAAGAAGGCCGGAGTGTACAACGGCCTAAACGTCGTGAATATGACCATAAAGATGAGGACAACAGCCTGGACATTGTAAATAGTGTAAATAATTACAATACCTCATATCAGAAATATAGACAAAACTTACTCCATATAAATTTTACCATAAATATCAATGAAAACCTTCTTATCCAAAATATCTCTCAAGCCATAATATAATTTTCTCTTTCAGATGGCTGACACGAAAATGATGGTGTTCATATAGACCTTCTCGATGTGTGACAGCGTCAATGAAAGTGAATAAACTGAATCCATTTCATGTGCTTTGTATTACTGTATTGTTCTTCTAGTGTTGTCATTACTTTTTGCTAGGGGGTAGGTGATAAGACTTACGAACCACCATGTATATTGGAAAGAATTAATAATATCTTAAAGTCAAAAGCAAAGTAAATCAAAACACTCGCTTATAAGACGCACACTTTTACAATTCCTCATTCTGAACTACGCCATTACTCGAACTTGATTTTCAGTCACTGTGAACAAAGCGAAATTCGCTAAAAATGCTGATCCATTAAAGTTAAACCTGATTAAATTTGCAAAGAGGATCTTCACTGATCATAATTGAGTTTTACATGGAACCTCCCTCAAGCCAGATGTTGAGGGAAATGACAGGCATTTAGCTTTCGAGCTTATAAACGGTGCTGCTGTCGACTGAGATGTAAACCCATCTTTCCCAGCACCCCTATCTCTCTCTCTCTATCTCTATCTCTCTATCTCTCTCTCTCACACTCTCTCTCTCTATCTCTCTCTCACACTCTCTCTCTCTCTCTCTCTCTCTCTCTCTCTCTCTCTCTCTTATTATTTCCGTTTCCTCTCTCTTTAATTTAATCCGTGGTATTCAGGATTGTCTCTCAGTTGTTTTTTGTCGACCCCCTCATTATTCTAGCATTCCCGTCTTCAATGTAACCTTGAACAAACGAGGACATTCTTTATTTTATGATGAAATAAGGAAACGGAAAATACAATGTGTCGGCGCCAAAATTTTGACACCTAACAAAAACCGCTTAATCATCAGTGTCAGTGTATACGCACCTACATCAATAAGTCCGTAGCCTAAAGCTAAAATATTTCTTGGCAATGCACTCTATTCAGTGGTCAATATGGATCATATAAATTGAATATTCTTATCAAAAACTCAGCACATAACTAATTGACAGGCTACAGACTTATCCATACATCCTTGAACGTGAGCGCTTAAAAAGAAAGACGTTTATTCATCTACGCGGTTATTTATTTTTTTTTTTTTTTTCGGATAAAAAATAAATGTTTCAACAATGCAAAGAGTTCATTGAAATTTGCCATCATAAATACAATGGTCTATTATGAACGAGAACCACTTATCATGGCCATACAGTTACGTATATGATGACATCTAGACTCATGACATTTTATTAAATAAATTTTACTATTTTCAAAACGGTCACAATTTTTTTCTTTTTTTTAAATACACATTATTACAATTTGTTCCGAATTAACGGATATGTATATATATATATATATATATATATATATATATATATATATATATATATATCCGTGGTATCGTAACGGTCCGGGTTCAATTGTTGGTAGTGGACGCGCACTGATCAATCTGAAATAGGATGAGACGGACGTCCAATGCTTTCTGCATTTCTCTTCTAGCCTCGATGAATTACTATAAATGATTATTCTAATCTCCAAAAATTTCTATCACTCCTATATATATATTGTTTAAACGTTACTTTTAATAGATACTCGTATTTGAGTAGACGCTCCGTTTATTTATTAAACACCATATTTATTTATTTTCTCTACAGGCCTGAATGTCCAAGAAATCTTTTTAAAGAAATTTTTTCGCTCTTTGATAGGAATCTTTTCTCGTGTCTTTCAATGCAATAGGAGCTACTGTTTAACCCATCACGCTTTGTCGACATGGCCACTAAGAACATTCAGTCATAAGAGGCCAAATTTTGTGCTTTCAAAAGAAATTTCTCATGTGATAGATCTCTCGATGTTTTTCATATTTGCACTTTTAAAAATTTTAATTCGATTTTTGATCCTTTTATCTTTTATGTCGTGTGGCGAAATTATTCATCTGGTCATCGTTCCGAGCTCTTTCGGATAATACATGAACAATTTTTGAAAGTGGAAAATGTCTTCATGTGACGCGTTTCGTCCTGTAGGACTTCATCGAACGAAAACTTCTTCCACTTTGTCCTACTTCTTTCGTCTAAAATTATCAAGCAAACGTCATACCAACTGTTCCAACGAGCCTCGGTGATGAAGGGGTTGCAAATCAGACTCAATATAGCGTCGCTCGCTCACATATTCCGTAGTGGAATTCAACTGAGATTCTCTCTAACCATAGGACTGTGCCCCCTGGAGCCACGACTACTATCACCAAGCCGCCCAAACTTGAGCATTAGAAGCCGGTTCAAGCAATGATATACAAATGACAGAAATTATTAGGAAGATTTGATAATTATAATTAAGTAATTCATCGAGTCTGAAAGAAACCTCAACAGAATGCAGAAAGCACTGGACGGCCGTTTCGTCCTATATTTGGGACTCATCAGCAGTGCGCATTCACTAACAAGAATTGAGTTCTTTCATGTTGTTTGGTTGGTTGATTTGGTTTAGTGGTATATCAACTTCCAAGTGATGTTTAATGCCGAAATCTAAATATTTTGATGATAATTATATAGCTTCAACTAAATTTATGTTAAAAGTAATTATATGTCTTCAACTACAGACAAAATGTATTGTTGGTCATTTTGCTATAAAACGTATGGTTGCCAATTCTATAAAACCGTATTACTAGTTATTTTGCTTTAAAGTTGTATTGTTGGTCATTTTATAATATAAAAGTGTATTTTAAAATAATGTTTTTTTTATGCTTCTGTCGCGTTTTGTTTTTGTCTTTGTCTTTTCACTATTTACCCATAGCTGGGACCCTAGCAGGTGCTACCATCCTGGTCACCCTGGGAACAACAGCAATTGAGGTAGTTCGACACACTATCAAAATCTCCGATCACCGGATCAGAGGCTTTACTGCCGGATGTAGTTTATCGTCATGCCCAGTAATCATATGCATGGTCATGGTGTTTATATTCGGGAAAATCTTGTAATGGAAAGGAAAATGTTTTTGGGTGACAAGGGGCGATTCTTTCACGTCTTTCAGTTATCATTATTATACTTTGTTATTTGTTTTTCTTTTAACACACCCCTTCTTCTCAGGACTCGTAGCATGTTAGACTCTTTCTCTCTATATATTCATATGAGAATATCTTTCTTTGGTGATTTTAATGCTTATGTCAGGTGGCTTAAGTACTATAATGTTACCGATGTTTCCAGTATTCAGACATTCATTAACCTAAAATTTCTGATCAACATGCTTCTTTACGTGATGTGTTCCTTACCTTCTCTCCTGGCTCTTGTCGAGCATCACAGCTGAGTACTCTTTTTAGGTCGGGTCACACTGTAGTCTCTTTTCATATTTCTTTTGATTCAATTATTAGACATTGACCCTTTATTGACATGTAATTTGTTTCTGTTACCCTCGTCCCGATAATCATTCACTTACTTCGCGACGATCCTCCACCACTGAAAGTGAAATCTTTTCTCATCCTATTGAAGTTTCTTCTTAGGTAAAAGTTGGCATCGATGAAACCACAATCTTGTTCTTGGTTCACACAGCCGTTAAATCTCACAGGAAACCCTTTTCCAACAAAGCCAAAGTGATAGCTTTGATCGCAACAGACGCTTCTTTGTATTCGCTTGTAATCATTGCAAACCTATCTTCGTTTACTGATAGAGCGAGGTACCTTATAGGCTTTCACAAGTTTGGTTCTTGTAATTAAATTAAATAAGGGTAATCCTGCCTCTGTTTATTCATTTTGAAGTGTTATCATCTTGTACAGATGCAGTCTAATACCTTGCCCGTAAATTCTCTTCAAATTCTATTTTCAACTCAACTGGAATATCTTTGCTCGACATTCCACTTTGACCTCGAGTGTGTGATATGCATATCCCCGTCTGTTTATGCTATCATATCTAATGTATGCGATTGCCATAAAGTAATGTCCTTATAAACTCGCTCCTTTTCCCTCTAAACACTACAATAGATGATTTGATGTTTATTGCTTTCTAGCTTGTTTGAAATTGCTGGTTTCAATCTAATCTTTCCACTCCTCAATTTATAGACAGAAACACACAAGTACATGCTCACATCTCTTTCTAGCCAATAAAAGAAGCCTGTTCTCGGTTTTAGAAGGCTCAGTCCCGGGCTGTCTTGTCTTGAAGTCAGAAAGCTGTGTTCGCTTATCCGAATTTGTTTTTGCGTGCCAACCCCAATTCCTTGCCTTTTACTGTTGTTTTGACTTATTATTGTTAATTAACCTTGCATATATTGTTTGCTTGCTTACTTTATATTATTTTTCTTGTCCTGTTCTTTTTTTTCTTGTTATTATTTATTGTAAATTTGGTCAATTCTGTATATTGGGCAGATATGTCAGTTATTTACATATAACCATAAGCATTCACTCTACAGAAAACGTCTTCTGTAGTTCCTGCTTTTATGAACGTGGATGAACCATCTGATGCTTCGAACTATCGACCTATTAGTCTCCCCAATCTTTCCTCAATCCCCACCTATATCCAGTCCTTTCACTCTCGCCTTGCTAGGAGTGAAATGGTAAAAAAAGTTCAACTGTTGATATCTTAATGGTTATTCTGAAGAATCTATCAAGGAATGGTCAATTTTGGGCAGTTACTTTAAATATTTCGATGGCATTTGACAGGGTTTGGCATTCTAGACATTATAGGTTGAAAGGTTATGGTGTTTCTGCCGAATTTTAAAATTAGATTTAGACCATCCTATCAAATCGCTATTCCTCTAATCTTTTTGCATTAATACGGCCATCATCAGTACTCTATTCTTGTCCTACTTTTTTCATAATAATCTTCAACGAACTTCCTGGTGTCATCAGTTCTCAACTTCGAATCTGGGATAATGAAACATATTTAATTCTGTCTTATTAGTTATTCTGATCGGTTCGATATGGTCAAATTGTCAGCTGATCTCAAAAATGACCAAACATCGGTTTTTAGCTGGGGTAAGTAATGACTTGTTAATTTTAACGCTTCTAAAACGAAACTCCTCTCCTTTAATTGTATAGGAGAACCATATTTTATGTCTTCCACGTGCATAGCTGATTCTAACCTCCTTGCGTCTTCTCAGTCTAACGTTACCCTCACTTACACACAACTGCTCTTGGGAAAGATATAAAATTCATTTTCTTCATCAGGGTTAAATGGTAATGCTTATATTTGGAATAATCAGTTATTTTAAAACAAATGAGTGTTATATATTTCGGTTTTAAATAGCCCAGAAAAGTCGATAATTATCAATCAACAATCAGTTAATTAATCGATTAAAATTTTTCTGCTGGCACGAAGTGAAAATATTATATGGAATCAATTGTTACGTTTTCTGCTAGGAAATTTGGTTCACTTTGTTCTTTTAGACAGTTTTGAAGTTTTTGCTTCACCTTCCTTACTTGCCTGATCCTGCTTCATTCTGACTATCATATTTTAAGAACATTGCAACTTTATTTTGCAACTTATTAGTTGTGAAAACGACAAAACTTATTTTCAGTGTTTCTTTACATTGAAGAATTTTACGCTGAAGGGATCAACATTTTGCCAAATGGATGGCATTATGTTTTCGATAACGAGGGTAAAACCTATCCTGAATATATGAAAGCCGAAATCTTATGTTACCTGGTCATTTTCAAAAAGCGACAAAACTTATTGGCAAGTAAGGTCCTTGGGTTTCTTTCGTCGTTTCCTTCAAATCTGTAGAGACCGTCACCCCACCCACCCCACTCCATAAAAGAATTGAGATAGCATGGTT